TAAAATTAGAAGCTACAACAAGTCAAACAGAGCCCACCTCATTTCCTGGCTGGGGGACGTCCAGCATCATCACTTCTTTCCTCCCCAGCCTGACAGTGCCTGGCCCCGCCCCTTTCATTCATTGGCTTTCAGTTCATTTAATCATAAAGGCTCAGCGTCACATGTGGGCATTACCCAGGACAGTTTGTTTCCAATTACAGCCTGCCCAGGAACGCCCCACTCCTCCAGATTGACGTCCACCTATCAAAGAATTGTGATATTTGCAGAACTCCTCCCACTTTCTGCATCAGGGCTGAGGGCTCTTGAGAGGAGTACTGATGCAGGCAGCTCATGACTGGTGGGAGGGGCCAGCAGGGGGCTGAGCATAGCTTCCTAAAAAGATCACAGCACCCTGCTGGCTCCTCCCATCAGCCATGAGTTGCCTGCACTGCATAGAGAAGCACAGAGACTCAGTGATGACATCACCAGCACTACAATAAGGTATGCAATGAAAATGGAAAGGTTTTATTTGTTGATGAGAGGAGGAGCCAGGAAAGTAAAATATAAACAGATTAAACTTCAGCTTAAGTATCGCCCGTGTAGCTCCAGTGAGGGCCAAGGTAGTAATACATTGCTCAGCAATCACACTTGTGATATTAGAGAAGAACTCACCAACGACTTTGCTGTCCTCTCTCTCCAGGTATCTCTTCCACATCAGATTGGCCCGCTCATCGTCACTGCAGAACAGAAATATATCTCCGGGTCAGTTCCTCCTCATGTATTAAACATCGGTGCCCCTCATCTCACAACACTGAGACCCCCTAGGATAAGGCCCCCTTTATCCATGCACCAAAACCTCAACCTGTCCCTCTACACGCCATGTACACGTGTGTGAAGGTAGAATCGTAGCTCATGTGTGGTCATTCTCCCTCTGTGGGCTGAACCAGGAAGGAAAATGATGCCCATGTTTTACAGGGAGCGCTCCCTGCACTTCTCCTGCACGTGTCATCACAGAATGCAGAGTGTGAAACGCTGGAATGAAGCAGCTTTCCCATTTGAAGGAGATTCAATTGTATTACAATAAAATAAAAGATAGATATATTCACTAAATATTATATATATAAAGAGAGAGAAGGGGGAGAGAGAGGAGAAAGAGGGAGACAGAGAGAGATGAAGAGAGAGAGAGGAGAAAGAGGGAGACAGAGAGATGATGCTTACCTGAGTGAGTCTTGGGGCTCCTGTGACACGGGTCGCTTGGCATCAGAGAGGATGCTGGGAGTCTTCCTGCACTTCCTGTTGATCTCCACGTGGATCCGGTCCATGAAGAACTTGAGAAATTCCTGAGCGTCTTGCTGACTGTAAGAGGAGGAATAGGGTTCATGGGGCGGGACTGCAGCCTCTTGCCTACCATCCTGTGCTTACTCCCTGCACAGGGGTGTGAATAATTTCTTTCCGAACAGTTGGTGGCGATAAAATGTTATTTGGCATTTACAATCCCTGATGAGCAGAATCACAGGGTCGGGGTGCCAAATCTTACTGGGGAACAAGGAAATGTGTCGATGTTCCACACACAGACAATGATTCATACAGAACATATTAATGACAACATGGAACAGCAAGCGTGTAAACATTCGAATCAAACGTTACAATAATGGCTGAAAAAATGTTTTCTCTGAGAGTAAAAGTGCCTTGCCCTTTAAGAACCAGCGATGTAATAACAGCACTATGAGCCATATGGGAACACTGATGCATCCGGGGCAACAAGACAACAATACAGGTACCGGGGCAACGGACCACATGAATCTGCACTCCTGTGAACAGAAACAATCTGGATTCCCCGATTTGCGATTTGTTTGCAGGAAATGATCTCACCTGTATCCAGTGAAAGATGGGACGTATTTCTGGAACACCGCTCGTAGACGGGCCGGGTTTGCTGCCTCCGGAGCCTCCGGGCTCCACAAGGAGACGATGACATCAGCAAAGGCTGCAGAGGGAACAAGAATAAAGACATTGCCTGCTGCATGTAAAAGACAAACAGACATCACGGCCTCAAGAAATATACATTGGTATATATTAAAAGGTATTCAAGAAGCTGCGGACACTGGACGTACTGCACACGCCCCAAATAACTTCGTGTATGTACACAGGGCGTGTGTGGTACGTCCTGTCCTTCTGCCCCGCTGATGCCCCCCGCACTTGCCTGGCAATTCCCAGCTGTCAAAATGACAGCCGGGTGTTGCCGTGAAAATACAGGAGCAGGAAAAGTTATTAACCAGTTGACATCCGCGGTGTTAAACCCCCTTCCCATCCAGGCCATTTTTCAGTATTCAGCGCTGCGGTACTTTGACTGACATTTATTCCGTCATGCAGCGCTGTACTGAAATGAATTTTATACCCTTTTTTGGGGACAGATAGAGCTTTCTTTTGGTGGTATTTATTCACCACTGGGGGTTTTATTTTTTTACTATATTAAGGAAAAATTACCGAAATTTAAAAAAAAAAACAGTTTCCCCTATATTAAATGATAAAACATTTATTATTACCCAATTTTTTGGTAAAATATAAAAGATGGGGTCACGTCGGGTAAAAAGACACTAAACATGTCAAGCCTTAAAATTGCGTGCGCGCGCGAAACCTCAAAAAACGATAATACCCAAAATTGGCCATAGGCGACGCTTTAAAAGCTGTTACCGCTCATCAGTTTAGTGTTATCAGTGATTGATGGCCCTAAAATGATTGCTCTCACTGCGACGTTCGCGGCGATATGTAACATGTGTAGCGCAATTGTAATTTTTGCGCGCTGGGGCACCGGACGCGTATTTACGTTTATAGGCGCGTAAACGTGGGGGTGGGGGAGTTAAACATTTTGGGGGGGTTTTTTCCCCTTTTTTTATATGTGACTTTTATTTTATTTTACTTTTTTATGTGTTACTTTTATTTTTTTTTATTTATATTTATTTTTTTTGCACTTATTGGTATTGCTATTATATAGGGGGATAACAACCGTGGGGGGGGGGGTGCCGCGAACGAGCACATATAGGCGATCAGCGGGCTATGGACCCGCTGATCGCCTATATGTGAAACACCCGGTAACGGGTGTGTGCATTGATCGGGTCTTTTCTGCCCGTGCGTGCCCGCTAGGGGGCGCGCGCGAGCAGAAAAAAATTGCCGTCTGGAGACGGCAACCCGCAGATGCAGCAGTGCCGTCCGTCCGTTTTTCTACTACGGGCGGACGGCAAGAGGTTAAGATCGTCTGACTCAATGTTTATCGCCCCAGAGAAGCCAAGATGGCAGCAACCTATTATTAACCGTCAAGTGTAGCGGTAAAAAAGGGGCTTTTTGAAAAATTAACGATGGCCTTATTTTGCCAGAAGTAGGGATGCACCGATACCGGTTTTTCCGTATCGAGTACCGATAGTTTGCTTTTGGTACTCATCGATACCGATGCTTCCGCTGCCATAGAGCCGGCTTCCCGTGCAATCTGCTCAAAGGTTTGCCTGGGAAGCTGGCTCCATGTTGTTTGGCCGGCCTAATGTGGATTGGCCAGGAGACCAGTTGTAAAGTAATCATGTAAAGTAATGACCCGTGTTCCGGCTTCCTCATTGGCCAGGAAACCGGCTCCATGCTGATTGGCCAGGAAACCGGCTTCCCAGCCAATCAGCATCGAGCCTAATTTTGCCAGAAGTAGGGATGCACCGATACCGGTTTTTCCGTATCAAGTACGAGTACCGATATTTTGCTTTTGGTACTCGTCTATACCGGAGCTTCCGCTGCCATGGAGCCGGCTTCCCGGGCAATCTAGTCAAAGATTTGCCCAGGAAGTTGGCTCCCTGTTGCTTAGCCAGCTCAATGCTGATTGGCTGGGAGACCGGTTTCCCAGCCAATCAGCATGGAACCAGCTTTCTGGCCAATCAGGTAGCTGGTAGGCAAGTAATGACACGCCTTGCAGCTTTATGATTGGCCAGGAAGCCAGCTCCATGCTGTTTGGCTGGCTCAACGCCTATTGACCAGGAAACCGGCTTCCCAGCCAATCAGTATTGAGCCGGCTGAACAGCCAGATTAATGCTGATTGGCCAGAAAGCCGGCTTCCTGGCCAATCAGCATTGAGCCGCCCAAACAGCATTGAGGCGGCTTCCTGATTGCACAGGAAGCTGGCTCCATGTTCCCCTACGGCACTACCGGTCAAGGTAAATCTTCCTCTGACTGGAAGTTCTGGTATCGGGAAAGGTATTGGAGCATTTGGGCGAGTACAAGTACTTGCCCAAATATTCGGTATCAGCACCGATACCGATACTAATATACCGATACAGAACAGGGTTTATATCCACCTCTCCGGTTCGGTAATGCTTCTGGCTAGGGATGCACCCATACCGATACTGGTATCGGTGCCGATACTGAAAAGGGAGGTCACCAGCTTGGTAAAGCAAGATGGACACCAAGATAGCGGGCGTCATGGGACAAACCAGGTCAGTGTATGCGCTAATCATTTCTTAAGCTGTCAAATGTGAGCTGCTGGGTGTGCCGGCGCACTGGGGCAGTTACATAAGCCGTGGCGACGTACCCTCGGTGAGCTCCTGTGGCGTCCGGCAGCTTGCGTGTTGCTCGTGGCGATATTCCTGGCGCAGGATGTAATCCCGGAGCGGTTTGGTGCGGCTCAGACACTGCAGGACGGCGTTCAGGAAACACTGTGCGGAAAAATCGATACCGATCAGATCAACGAACAGCCAAATTTACGTTTCGTGAGAAGTGGAGGAGGGGCAGAACCTATTGCTGTGTTTCATGGGGAGATCTCATCACTCCAGGAGAGGAAGTGAGTGGAAATCTCCCCAGGAGACACAGACAGTTATAAAGGACGTAGAAGGAAGCTGGAGGGCTCTGGATCTCTTAAAGGAGAACACCAGTCATTTTAAAATTGGCATCCCCTGCACTGCAAGGGATAAATGCTCTTTTTGTCTATGGGGCTCAAATAAAGACGATGGGCCCACTGTGGCGGTTGGCACTCACCTATCTTCCCCTCCACGATGGCTGTAGAATGTCCCTAGGTGTCCTCACGTCCAATGCAAATCAATGGACCTGCATAACACGCGATGATGTCGGCACTCTTTAAATCCTGGAGCCCAGGGGAGAAGAGCCTGCAGGGACCAGTCTAGCAACCCGGAGAGGCCAAGGATCAGGGGAGTATATCTGCTTTATTTAAGCCCCCCCCTAGACAAAACAAGCACTTAACCCTCGACGTGCAGGGGAATGCCCCACTGCAGGGGGAAAGTTTTTTAAATTCCCAGATTTGTGTCCCAGATATGCACTTATGCATATATAAAAAGCCCATTTAAAGCATAAACAAACGCTAAAAAATACCCTAAAATTCTCGTTCTTTCAGCGGTCACGTGACCGCAGGGCTCTGCTCTGATGCCTCTTTTGCTAGCCGTGTGGTGAGACAGGAGGCATGACCAAGCACAGCAGTTGCCAATGAAAATGAGTGAGGAGGCTGTGGTATCACAGGCCGGATCCGAAACTATAGGCACGGCTCCCACCATCCCTGTGCTGGGTTCCCGGGTCTCTACATCCGCTGTGCCCATTATGAGGGGCTCCCACCATGCCTGTGCTGAGTTCCCGGGTCTGTACACCTCCTGTGCCCATTATGAGGGGCTCCCACCATCCCTGTGCTGAGTTCCCGGGTCTGTACACCTGCTGTGCCCATTATGAGGGGCTCCCACCATCCCTGAGCTACGTTCCCGGGTCTGTACAACTGCTGTGCCCATTATCAGGGGTTCCCACCATCCCTGAGCTGAATTTCTGGGTCTGTACACCTGCTGTGCCCATTATGAGGGGCTCCCACCATCCCTGTGCTGAGTTCCTGGGTCTGTACACCTGCTGTGCCCATTATGAGGAGCTCCCACCATCTCTGTGCTGAGTTCCTGGGTCTGTACACCTGCTGTGCCCATTATGAGGAGCTCCCACCATCCCTGTGCTGAGTTCCTGGGTCTGTACACCTGCTGTGCCCATTATGAGGGCTTCCCATTAGTCCTGCTGGGAGATCTTGCAGTTGAAACATCCCAAGACATATAAGAGGCCATAGGTTAACTTAGCCCACCAGCCTCCACCTATCTATTCAAAATAAGCTTTGGATGCACTGCCAGTTTAACAAGCCTACTTATCAGACAGCCCACACAAGAAATGCTTACCGTGTTGCCCAAATTCCGCAGCCCAACATGGCCGGATCCGAGGACGGGAACACGAGGAGGCTGCAAGGAAGAAGAGATGAGAATTCAGTCAGGTACAATTCAATCTTTGACCAAGACTTTCAAGAAAAATGTACATTCGAGAGCTATGAGGACCGGGGGGCGAGGGGGGCCTCTCTAGAAAAAAAATGTACATCCGAGAGCTATGAGGATCAGGGGGCGAGGGGGGGCCCCTCCAGAAGAAAAATTTACATTCAAGAGCTATGAGGATCGAGATCAGCTCTTGTATTGGAAGACACCAGCACAGCACCTGATCTTCTACTATGATTGCGCCCTCTGCGGCCAGCCCACCCATGGCGGATAACTGACTCAAGAAAATTGTCATAGAAGCCGCAAAATGCCCCCTGCTGATGCACGAGGTATTCAGTACCCCAGTCCTGGCTCCAGATGCATTAGCGGAGGGCGGGAAGGCTAGCAGTGGGCTATCAGACAAACCACCAAGTTCAGAGTCCCCAGGGCAAGCATGCGACAATTCCCCCTGCCATTTAGTAGTGGTGGAGATGGCTACCCCTGTACCCCCCCCCATCCCTTTGAGTTTTTCTTTATCTGCCATAGTGGGGGTGCCGCTCAGGTACTCACAGACCATCACCGAGGGATAAACAAGGGTCCCCTCTGTGGTCGCAGTGGTCCTTGCACCAAGAAACGCACTCTGCTTGCGGATGTAGGTGGATTTTAAAAGCGCGCCTTCAGGCTCCTGCAAGTGTCTCAACAACTGTGCCCCTGTGTAAAAATGGCTTCCGCAGGCGTTCCTTCTCCTGGGCATGCCCAGAATACACTGCACTCAGGATATGCCAATACAGCCACCCAAGCCTGTATTGTGCATGCGGCTGAGAGAGTCCCAGTATGGAGATGGCTAAGGACGCCCTCCGATCCTTGGGCGCCCTTGCAGATGCCTGCCTGATTGCAGGTGGGATGCGTACGGTGCCACAAATGGGACAATTTTGTAACACAGATCATGAGGAGTGGGGCAAGGGGGCACCTCGAAAAGGAAAATTGAAAGAGCCAGCGACGGTTGAACAAGCGACCACATATTAAGGACTTGTGGAGAAAAAAAAGGGGGGGGGGGGTTGGCGAAGGACGGGTCCTCATGGACAAAGGGGGAAGAAGTGGGGTCCTCATGGACATGGTCACCCCATTCTGGATGCAACACCACCCTGGACCTGTATAGCACAATGTAAGCATGGTCATCCACTAGGACAAAAAAAAAAGGGGGGGGGGCCAAAGACCTCATCTTTGGACAAGCACATTCCCTCCAGAAGGGGGGGTCGTCATGGTCACCCCATTCTGGATACAACACCACCCTGGACCTGTATAGCACAATGTGGCTAACCAAACGCGTTGCACCATGTGCCAAGAAGAGCTCCTAATGCAGAATCAACAGTGCAGGCTGGCCCCGTGTCTTCAGTCCAGGGAAGGGGGCCAAGTATGGTCACCAAAACTTCCGCAATGAGGTACCGATGCGGACTCTGTGAGGTAGCCGATGTGGCTAGTAGATCTTGACTGAAGAAAGGCAGAAACACAGGTTACTTAAGTACACACAGCTCCATCAATAGATGAGAGACATCCATCACCTATGGACACTAGCCAAAAACTGAGGATATCTGGGAGTGGGAAGGGCTATATGAGGGTTGAGGGTCCCACCTCAATGCTGTTAGTTGTCCTAATTCCTAACTGTGTATGGCCTGCTTGAGGGAACTGCTGTACTTTTCTCAAAAACTTCATTAACAGACACCTAAGGCATCTGAGGTATAAACCCTGCCCCCAAATAACACGCTGTACCTCTAATGAAGTATAAAAAAAAATCTTTGCAATTCTAAATGTATCCCTTTGTCCTGGCAGGGAGGTTCTACACTATAGTAACCAAGAAGGTCTGCCTGGTTCTGGAAGAGTCTGCCATCTGCCGTTACCTCGCTGGTCATGAGCAGGAGCCCCATCATGGCCGTATGGACCACGGACTCGGAGATATCCACGCCTTTCCCCTGGACTTCCTTCTTGTCGGTCAGCATGTGCTGGAGCTTCTGGGGCAGCTCGACCAGACCTGTCCCCTGCAGCCCGGGCATGGTGCGGCTCTGCCAGGGGGACAGTCCGTCCTGACTGCTCGCTCGTCCTCGGGAGAATGACGGGGATTAAAGGGACAAGGTCTCCTCCTCATCATCCTTCTCAGAGGATTGTGCCTGGGACTGTTCAAGGTGGATCAGCGAGCTCATCTCCTTGGGATTAATTAGCTGTGGAGTCACGCTGCTTTCTCTCCGCGCAACGGGAGGGGAGCGTACACTACGAGCGCGCAGGGAGCACAAGATGACCTTGGTTATGTACACACAGCTGTGTCACCGCACAACGCAACTATGTACAATCACAGCCGGCGACTGCTACACAAAGAGAACATGCTGGCCACTTTGTACTGCACAGCGCTGCGGTATATGTCAGAGCTATATATGTATAAAATAATAGTGTGTGACTGTGGGGGGACATTAGAGTGTAAGCTCCTCTGTACAGAGACTGATGTGACTGTGGGGGGAGATTAGAGTGTAAGCTCCTCTGGTACAGATTAGAGTGTAAGCTCCTCTGGTATCAGTGATCTCTGTACAGCACTGCGGTATATGTCAGAGCTATATACATGTATAATAATAGTGTGTGACTGTGGGGGGACATTAGAGTGTAAGCTCCTCTGTACAGAGACTGATGTGACTGTGGGGGGACATTAGGGGGACATTAGAGTGTAAGCTCCTCTGTACAGAGACTGATGTGACTGTGGGGGGACATTAGAGTGTAAGCTCCTCTGTACAGAGACTGATGTGACTGTGGGGGGACATTAGAGTGTAAGCTCCTCTGTACAGAGACTGATGTGACTGTGGGGGGAGATTAGAGTGTAAGCTCCTCTGGTACAGAGACTGATGTGACTGGCTCAGTTATCTCTGTACAGTGCTGCGGTATATGTCAGAGCTATATAAATGTATAATAATAGTGTGTGAGTGTGAGGGGACATTAGAGTGTAAGCTCCTCTGTACAGAGACTGATGTGGCTGGCTCAGTGATCTCTGTACAGCGCTGCGGTATATGTCAGAGTTATAAATACAGAAATGTGGTCCATTAGAACAACGTTAGGGTTTCCTCTGACACACCTACCGGTGTAGAAGGTGTCGGCTGCCTCTCCTGCGTCTTTGCGCCGTTGGCGGTCGGGGTCTCTTTAGTCGGCGAGCTGCTGGACAGTTGGGCCTGGTTTGAGTCTTTCCTATCCTGCGCCTCTCGCGGTGCTGGTTTGGATGAACCGGTAGCTCGCAATGGCGTCACGGAGACGGCGCTGGGTTTGTGCTGCGTCGCCACTGTTGGTAAGGAATTCAGCCGCTTGAGCGAGCTGCTCCTTTTCAGCACAGCGGGGTCCAATGGCGGCTTCCTACTCGAGGAGGCGCTCCTCTCCCTGAGCGTCACATGCGCCAGTCCTTTACCGATGTCCTCCACCTTGCTGCCAGCAGAGCTCAGGTCTCCGGAGCTGACCGATTTCGACCGCGACAGACTTCCCGGCCTGGGCG